GTTAGCGGAGGAGAAATGATGAAACCCCTTTTTCATATTGGAGATCTGAAAGAAAAACAGCAAAAATTTATATTCTATATTGAAATAGAAGAAAATATCTCCGAAATTGAAGAGGTATTCTCAGATATTGATGAAGCTTTTGCTTATTTCTGTGGATGTTGCAAAAAAAATTAAGAGCACCACCAAATGTGGAGAATGTGTGGATTCGATATTGGGGAAGGGAAATGAAATGATCCATTCCCTCATAAGAAACAAGAGCAAGGAATTTTTAACATTTCCATCACAAAACATTATTAGCTTTCTTCACGATGTTGAAGTCACAATATCAGGTGTTTTTGTGCTAAAGAACATAATGTAAGAGCTCTCAAAAATAAATCAAAACTTTTTTATTAGTAATTGAAAAAAATCAGTAGAAAGTTGCTGCTTATTAAAAGACTCTTAACAGGTAATCGAAAAGTTCGACAAAGAATTCACTGGAAATATTTCTTTGTAATCTAGTGAATTATTCAGATTTTGAATATCAGGAAGGTCCTCATTAAATTGTTTTATAATTTTCTTTTAATCTCACTGGTACCTATGTCATCACCTCATTATTCAAATCATTTTCAATTAATATTCCGTAGTCATTGAAATTTTTATTTCATGAATTAAGAGATAATTCCTTTTGATTTCTGTTCTTTTTTTGGAAACGTTAAAATATTCCCAATGATTTATTCTGTATTTCCAAAAATAGAGAGACTTCTGAATGACTTTTTGAAAAGAATGATGTTTAATGCACAACCTAAGGACTAAACACAACTTTCCCCATCACCCATCATGGAGTTCCTTGCAAAGCATCAACTTCTATCACAAATAACTTTTTTTGTGACATTCAGAGTAAAATAGTTTTTAATTTGTTGCATACTTGTGACACACTGCATTTATATATAACATAGTTACATATTCATTATCTCATGTTTTATTGCTGAAATTTTTTTCCTATCATACCTATATATTTGGTTTTTTTGTGAAGTTTGCAAATACATTTAGGAAAAAAGAGGAAACTATTGTTATTTCTCACCTTCATAATGATTTGACCTATAATATATGTATGAGAATTTTAACAGTTAGTGGTATTTTCATTTTAGAACTTTTGAAGAATATACACAAAGCTCGTGACGACCATATGCGTGTAGATGAACTACACAATTATGATACTAGACAGAAAGGCAAATATTGCGTTCCCTTCAGACGCTTAAATATTAGCTTAAATTCACCTACTGTACTTGGCTTAAGACTCTATAATCGACTTCCACAAAGATATAGATCCTTTTCAAACCGGAAATTTCTTATTGAAGTGAAAAAGATACTAATTGATCTGTGTCCCTACTCTCTAGAAGATTATTATGAATTAATTTTTTAAAGAACAACCTGTAAACATGTATTATTTCACTATCCTATGTTAATTGTATTTTGTCTGCAATTCTTGTTATGCATGTACATATTCAGCTGAAAAATGTAAGGAACCTTCATTAGATTCTTGAAGGAAATATTGTAGTTCCATTAGTTGTGACATAAATGAAATAAGAAATTTCGTGTCTACAAAGATCATGATTAGCTCCTGTCCAAAAGAAAACGAAGTTTTTCTGGAAACAGAATTTAAGACTACTTAAAACACAAAAAATTCATTAACTCACTTCTTAAATTATCCTAAAAGCACATTATGAAAAATGAACGTGGAATTTAATATAAATTCAAATACACCCTGTGTGGTCTATGATTACAGTTTACTATAAAGACTGCTTGCGTCATCTGAAAGGGCGCTGATCTCTCCTAATCAAGTTAGCCATAATTCCCTCATTTTACCCCAAACTTTTACAGGTATGAGTAGATACACCAGGGTTTTTAGACATCTTAATTCCAATGTTTATTAAACACGAGATGGTTACTGGAATATTTAAAAAAGGATGAATACATGAAAGATATATCAATACTATTATTTCTAATAAATGAGGGTGCTTTAATCAAAGCGTTCGCAGAAGTTATTAAGTTATTAAGAGAGTCATAGTTACGACCGCACCGGGGGGCCTGGGGGGCCGGTTAGGCCCCCCAGACGTACCCTGGCGTTGGATGCGATCGGGCGTGGAGGGGTGGATTTTCGGGAAATCCTTGCGGGTACCGCCCCTCACCCCACACCAACAGGATTTCGCAGGGCTTCCTCCCGCTCACCGAACCCGGAATTGCTTCCTTACATCTACTTAGTGTGGCTAACCAAGAGACAGGACCATCGGCAGCGTTCGACCGAACGTTCGTACAAGTTAACTACGCTCTTCTTTCGCCAGAGAGTGCTCGCGTCGCACACCTGCCCCCGCCAGCCATGCCAAATCAGTTGGGAATATGGTCCCGGAAGTGGCCGGCCGGGGTCCTAAGCTCGGATACTAGTAGCTCCGTCCATCCGGGTTCCGACACCTCAAGCGTCTGCCTTGGTGCCCTCCAAGGCTAGACTCGGATACTAGATCCCGGAAGGACCGCAAGCCCCGACACCTCGAACGCTTGGATCCGTACAGAAGCAGGCGAGGATCACGGAACAGCATAAGCCGTCCAGTGCCTCATAATGGGGCTGCAATGCACCCATGAATGGATTACCGCAGCCCTGTATCCCTTTACCCGCTAGCGGAGCCGCTGCCCCTAAGAGGCCAACGCCAGTTGGAGATGAGGCTCACTAGCCTCCAGCCGCGAGCGGGCACTCACCTCCCCCCTAGAACTCATGTTAGGAAAGTTCCCTTTCCAACGTTTGATGAGTAACCGTCGAGGACTCTCACGAGCATCCTCTACCACACATCATATGTCGAAGATGTCGCGCCCATTACCCGTATAGGTGCGGGATAGGGCGGTTCATCAACGACTTTTGGGTGTACGCCGTGTGGTCTGCCCCGCATACCCTTACGTTACCCCGAGGGGCACTCATGTTAGGAAAGCTACCTTTCCAGCGTTGGATGAGTAACCGCCGAGGGCTCTTGCGAGACACCTCTACCACACATCTAGCTTGAAATCGGCCAACGCCTGTTACCCGCAGATGCGGGATAGGGTAGTTGACCGATAACTTTACTGGGTGAGTGCCGTGTGGTCTGCACCGGAGGACTGTCAAACACCCATAAGAGAGAGACAGTGACCCCCCGCCACTCACCCCGCCTAGGAGTTCCTTCGTTATTTTTTGATGAGAAACCTAAACCTATCTTAACGGAGATTGGCGAAAAATTGAGCGCCAGTTAAAAAGCACAAGAGTCACGGCTGAGATATTTGAGGATAAATAACTCTAAGATTGTAGATTTTTCCGTTGGTCAATTAAAATACACGATGAAGTGCACACACTGTGGACACTCATCAGTTATATTCGATCCTTTCTGGGATTTGTCGCTTCCGATATCACAAAGAACTGGCCAATAGAGTTTGTCACAATGCTTGGATTCCTTCACAAGAGAGCAAACTTTGGAAGGACATGAAAAACCGACGTGTTCGCGTTGCAAGAAAAGAAGAAATTGCACATAGTCTTTATCACTCCATAAGTTTCCCCGTATTTTAGTTATTTATTTTGAAAGATTTTCTCTAACAGAAAAATTTAAAGGGAAGTTGAATCTTCCCATTGAATTTCCTCTAGATGGATTAGATATGATGAGCAATCATGCAGCAGACGATATGATTCCTTATCGTTATAATATCTATACTACAGCCACAAAACAGCCACACAGCTGTTTTGTGACTACAGCATACTATAGATATCCCTGCACTGGCAAGTGACAGGAATACAATGATTCACACGTGTCACCAGTTTCACTAAAATCGCCTGTGAGGGTAGATGCATACGTCCTATTTTATGAATGGGAGAAAATGACTTCGCACCTTTGAGATACCTAGCAGGATTTTTCTTTCAGTGTTCTGAAATATTATTTTCATATAAAATAGTCCGGGTTGAACCGTGTCTCTGGTTTTCTTCTGTTCGACGTTTGAGCTTCTGCTTTGAGTCATTTTCAAAGAACAATTAGCACTCTCACTTTGTTCAGTTCCAAGAGTACACTGTGTTTTTAGTCTTCTCTCAAAAGTTGAATAGCTCCTTTCAATGTTTTTAATAGTAGGTACGGAAGTTGATTTACTAAATTTATGAAAATATCTGTCTATCTTCCGTCGTCTATACTACTACAGAAATTGTATTTTTCGATAAGGATAATTTTTTCCAAAGCAACCATGAGGAGAACTATAACTACTACTACACTATCAAGGTCGTATAGTATACACGTATACTGTTTTTCCAAAAGGACTGATCGTCCAAAATTTCATATTGTAATGACTTGAAATGAAACAGATAACGATTTGAAATTTCCTCTGTTTGTTGAGGCCTTGATGAAATTTAGATGAATTGGTTTTGAGCATAGTTGGAATAAAGAAACAGTATTTTCCAAACACGTTCGTCAGAAAGTTTTACAAAACACAAAACATTTTTACTTCATCATAATGTGTCGGGACTAATTTGAAAATTTATGATTTTGATTATTCGACTAGAAAATTTTTGGCAGCGGGAAAAACTTGAAATATCAAAGAAGTTGGGAACCATTTTTGTTCGTATTGGAAAGACAAGTGAAGAAGTTGATGAAAATCATGAAAATATTTATCCAGTTGGAGTTTGAATGATATTTTTCATATTTAGTGGCACCCTCATCATTTAATCTGTGGTATCATAATAGAAAGATAAAAGGATTATACTATGATAGTATTCACATATTAGATTTCCAAACAGTTTTCGTGCAGACTGTAAGATAGGTTGTTATGATCCAGAATTGTGTTGACATTGCCAATTCTATGGTGTAAAAGGTTTGTCTCATAAGAGTACCGCCACAATGTCACGATTTCTTGTGGAGATGACAAGCATTTGATCATTCGGTGTTTTATGTCAGATACGTCAACACAGACATATATTTTATACCTCAGAGTAACAAAATTACTCAGAGTTTTATACCAAAGCCACAGAACTCATTATATCTTACGACTTACGAGCTTAAAATATAATCTGTGACCAAAACACGAACTTTGATCACCCTTTCCAGTAACATCTACTGTTAATGAACTTTAATCTTTTGGTCATAGTGTAAATATATTTTCAATTTGTAATTTCTAGAAATCGAGTTTTTCAGTAATATTAATTATTTGTTGACTTGTTTCCATTTTTTATTGTTTCAACCTATTAACTTGAATATGTTGTCTGGGTGTTCAAGACGGATAGGAACACAGGTAAATAATTATGGCACTTGGGAGTTGAAAACAGTTTCTGGTATTTCATTTTAGCATTGCCCTTTTTATTTATTATAAGAATGCCTATTAATCCTGCTATAAGACGTCTTGACAAACATTTTACCCTTTTGTTTGAGTTTACATAGCACTTGAAAATTGGGTTTGCCGTTCATGAAGAAAAGGTACCTACCTAACTTTTACATATTGACAAAAGTGACAAACAATGAATAATAACATCTAGAAAAAATGTATTGGCTTAAGGAATAAGCTGGTTTTCACTGTGTTCATTGGTTCTAAAAAAATTTCAAAATGAAGACACTTGTAGCTTATAAAAAATTGAAAGAAGAATATAAATCAATATATTCCAGTTTATGAAGATTTTTTTGTTAACTAATTGTTGGTATCTAAGCTGTCATCTCAGAAACATTTACTTGTAATGTACTGTTTAGTCCCAGACTCTGCTTGAGAAATGGGCAAGCGATCAAACATACGGCCAGCAGAAGACTAGCTTCTCAGGATCAATTCACTAACCTGGCTACTCACTGACATAATGACCATAGAGTCATGTAAAAAAATATGTCATATTTTTAGAATTTTGATAAAAAATTTGTTCAATTTGAAAGTTTCACACTTCCAATGTTCTGAAATGTGAAAATTTATAACACAAAATGAAAAATTTAGAATGGGATTTTTTAGGTTAGTTGCTACAAAAAAGATTTCAGATTTCAGGTGCTGGTTGTGTTAATCTGTGTAATAAATTTCAATCATAGTTGGGGTTCATAGGTAGTATTCTTTCAATTTTATTGTACATTTGATCTTTGTGCTTAATTTATTTTTATCTTAATGATTTCATAATTCTATTCCTTTTGTTTTATATGTTTTTCAAACATTTTTTTGCCCTTCATGTTTTTTCATAATCATAATTGTACAATTTTTGTAATTTATTTTGAAATGTTTGGAGCTCCTCTTTATAAATGATTCTTGAGGTCATTCTTGTTCGATTGATAACCTATTTATTTGTAGAAATTCATATTGAATATAGGATAAAGAAAATAACTGTCTAATTTCTACTACGATTTTTATTATTTGTTTATTTCCCTTCATTAAACCATTCTCAAGTAAACTTTTCTGGAGTTTAATTTTTTTTAATTTGGTAATTTATTTTCTACTGATTCAAGGATTTTGTAACAATAAAATCATTGTAGAACCAATCAATTTATAAACTAGGAGTTTAAAATTTTTAATTTGTGAGTGTTTTAATTGAAGTAATCTCCCTTTTCTTGAGATATTTTCCACATTTTTTTTTGTATAATGACGAGAAGTAGAAAACCAGAAAGCTTTTCCCAAGAACTTGTCTCTCCTACTGTGTTCGCATTTAAAATTTGAGAAGTCCTATTCATTTTACTAAACAGTGAATTTCGAAATGTGTTCTAAAGTAAAAAAAAGTTTAACATTAGTTTAAAAAAATATATTTTATATAAAAGTTCTGTATCATCTAAAATACCAACCATAATAGTAAAATATGAAGAAGTATCTCACACACAGACAGAAAAATAAAAGAATAAAGTACCCTCACTTCTAACAAAACTCCAGGTTGAAAATTGAATTAAACTATTAGTTTTTTCAGTGTCACTAACATTGACTGCCATGGTCATAAGTCTCATGTTCTGGGTAGGTGATTTTAATAACTCCCTGAGTCACCTAGAAATCATCATGGTTATTCATAGTACTGTAAGCCATGTAAAATAGCAGTACCCACCCAGCTTGTACTGAACTAACATTAGGTTTCTATTTTCCAAATTGTCTTAAACCATGGATATTATGAAGTAATATTGATGAATTTCCAGTTTTAATCCCAAGAAATATTCGAGTATTTTCACAAAAAAAAGTCTAGCTGATAGGTATTAAAGCAAAAGAAATTTGTATTACATTTCAAGCCTGGTTAATAAAGAACAACTTACTTTCATAAAAATATTGAATTATACAAATGATTTACACATCTTTGTAAAGAGTTTATTATGAAATTAATTACTCTCTTCCTTCGGAAGTTTTTCATATTTTTTGTACAAAGATGGAGAAGTAGAAAGCTGGAACCTTTCTTTCCCAAAAATTAATCTTTTCTGAAAATATACCCCCTTCAATAAAAAAAAAGTACTTTCGAAATAACTACTTTTATATGAACGTTGAATTATATGAAAATATTTTTTTCCTACTTGGTTTGTACTACAGATGGAATGAAATCAGATATCATTCGTAGGAACTCTACACAATCTATACTTATAAATGCAAGTCACTAAACACTCACTAATTCATATCTGTTTCTCAATACTGGTGAGTCCTAGAAAGCTAAACTTTGGTATATAGCTGATTCTTGGGTCTTAGATGCGCACTAAGAAAGGATTTTCAAATATTCCAAATGGGGCGCCCCCCCGTGGGGGTAAAAGGGGAGCGTTTACATATAAAAATTACCGTAATTTGAGGTGACTTCGAACGTGTCCGGTGAATTCGAACGTGTCCGGTGAATTCGAACACTTGGCTGTTGTTTAAAATTTCAAAAAACTGGAGCGAAATATTCAAGTATCACTAGTTTTTTGTGAACCGAGTGGAAACAGTCAAGTGGATACTTTTGTGAAGTTCAGATGTTTATTTAATGGTGAGTATAAAATAGGTTGATATGTGAATCCCGACGGCTCATTTATACATTTCTCGATACGCCGCAAACAAACTATTGAAATTTTGATTTGTGGTCTTGTACCAACTTTAAAATTGGTTTACATGATCATTCATGTGTTGTCGAGAACTGTTATCAATTTCATCATGATATTACTAAAAGTGGATTTTTCAGAAATTATTAAACGAAATGTTTCACTTACAGTGGGGTCAATTCTAACATGGTACAAAAATACAAAAAACGGTTTGGCGGCGTGCAGTATGGAAATTATTCTTCGGTTTCTTCGGAAAGGGCAATGACTGCCGTGAAAGACAAAAGAATGACATATGGCTGTAGAGGTGTATAATATTCCAATGGCTGCACTATGCCATAAAATTGAGGGAATCCACCCAGCAGCTCCTGGAAGACAAACAGCTCTGAATGAGGAAAAAGAACTGAGCCTTTCACGAGGATTACAGAAGGCAGCAGAATGGGGGTTCCCTCTCACCAGAGCAGATATCCGAGGTTTGGTTGAACAATTCCTGGAAAGTAAGGGGAAAACAATAAAAACTTTCAAGGATAATGTGCCTGGTCTCGATTGGTTCTAGAATTTTTTAAAGAGACATCTTTCTTTGACTGAACGTGTCTGTCAAAATATAAAGCGTTGCCTAGCCGAACTGAGCCCAGTCGTTATTAATGACTATTTTGACAACCTATCACGAACCATCGAAAATGTCCTTCCATGAAACGTTATGAATTATGATGAGACCAATCTTACATACGGTCTAGGTAGAGCAAAAGTGGTTTGTCATCAATAATGTTAGCCGTCACTGCTTCAGGAAAAGTTTTGGCACCATATGTCGTCTACGAGGCATCCCACTTATATTCCACATGGACAGAAAATGGCCCTGATGATGCTGCCTACAACAGGACTAAGAGCAGCTGGTTCGAAGGAGTTATATACGAAGACTGGTTTGAGAAAATCACACTGCCATATTTAAAAAAATGTGAAGGCAAAAAAATTCTGATCGGAGATAATTTATCCAGTCATCTTTCTATTGGAGTGATAAAATTGTGCGAGCAGAATAATATTGAGTTCATCCTTTTACCACCCAATGCAACATTTACTCCAACAATTAGATGTTGCCTTATTTGCTCCGTTAAAAAAAAATTGGCGGAAAATATTGACTGAGTGGAAACAAAAAAATAAAGGGGTGCTGCTGAAATGAGAGTTTCCAAAGTTGATGAAGAGACTTCTTGATGAAGCTGAAGTTAATGCTGCAAACAATGTAATATCAGGATTCAGAAACTGTGGAATAGTTCCTTGCAATCGGTATAGTGTTCACAAGAAAATAGCTAAACCTACTGAAGAACAAATAGAGCAACAGGAAAGGCAGGTTGATATTGATCAGCGATAGTCATTGACATTCGTCAAACTTCATGCAACAATCAAGAGCTCTAGAAAATAAACAAGCAGTGAGAAGAGGCAAAAATATTGATATTGCACCAGGCAAAGATATAACGGCACGTGACATGAATCGTCCAGTTGAAAAAAATACAGCTGAAAAATTTTCTTCTGAAGATGAGATAGATTACCCACATTATTCTATTTTTCAATGTGAGAGAGAGGAAGACGACGAAAATGTTGCCCCGACTGATGCATCATCGAACAAACATTTAGAAGGCCCTATTCAGATTACGGAAATTTTCAATAACCAGCCTGATCTCATTTTGATAGATTTTCTGAGACGTAAAAAAACTGAAAAAATTAATTAATGTCACTATCCGAATGTTAGGGATGAGTCTCTGGTGAATACAGAGGACGTTATAATGAAGCTGAAACCACCAATGGATCTCAGAAGGAACAGGTGGTCATTCAAGAGTTTACCGAAAGATTATATAATTGAATAAATGTTCATGTGTACCTATTTTTATTTTTGATTATTTAGAATAAATTTTGTTTTTATTTTCACATTCTGATCATTAGAGAAATTTATTTTGTTGGGACAGTTGGGCTCATATTTGGCTAAGTGACTTTTTCCTCATTGAAATTGTTCGAATTAACCCTTTCGAAAACTAAAATTCGAATTTTCATGTATATTAGAGCCCTGTTCAAATTGATACCACACATAGGGGTGAATTCGAACAACTTTCACAAATGAAAAAAAATGTCCATATATATATACAGTGTCACCATTAAAGTGCGCACCATATGGGAAACTTTTTTTTCGAAAATTTACCTTAAAATGATGCGGCCAACTGCGACCCACTGACGTTCAGTGTTTGTCAAATTCAACTTTTTCTTTGAAAAAAATTGAAAAAGTGCATTTCTATATCGAATTTAACAAAAAGTTACTACGGCAATTTTAATCCATATGCCAAATTTTATGCAACTAGGATAAAGTTAACGTTTTGCTTATTTTTGACAGATATCCCCTTTATTTTAAAAAACAAGTTCGGTTAATTGTCATCAATTAATGTATACATAACAAACTCATCATGGAGTTTAACTTTTCTGATACATTTTTACTTATACGGACATTTTTAGAGAGAAATTAAAAATGTGCTATAAAAATTTTAACATGACTGGTGCAAAGTTTTAATCACTTGGCTATTTTCTTAAACAAACGTCAGTACCTTCAATTTTGAAAAAGCAGACACAACTCAAAAACTGCAATAAGTATTAATAAAATGACTAGAGTTGAAATTACATTAAAATTTCAATATTCAGTATTTACAGATTATTTATAAACACTAAATAGGGCGGTAAGGATGCTTAATCACGTTGAATAAAATTTTTAAGTAGGTCTTGACAAACAAAATGCATGCTATGGTAGTGTCAAGTTGTTGATTTACTTGTCAAATTTTTAACAGTTATTGTTGCAATAATGTTGTCTCTTCAGGAAAGAATATAAATAGTTTTAATATGTGGTGAGAATACACCACACCGGCAAGTAGCTAAATTTTTTAATGAACGGCATCCAGGAAAAAATGTTCAACATACTACTGTGTCAAGGATAATGTCGAAATTCAGAGAAACAGGATCCGTAGCAAATCAATTTAAGAAAAAGCACACTCCAAGTAAATATGATGAGGAGGCCCAACTTAACATTTGTTTAAAAGTTATTGGACACGGGCAAACGAGCATAACCGATATTATAAAAAATACCGATTACAAGAGAGAAAGTGTTAGAAAAATGTTATTGAAGAATAAATTTTGGCCTTACAAGCCAAAACACATTAAAAGAACGAGATTTTGATGTCCGTTTGGGGTTTTCATTCTGGTTTCAAGAAGAGAGAGAAGAAAATGTAAAGTTTCCGATAAAATTTTATGGACAGATGAGGCAACGTTCTCTTCAAATGGAACGGTAAGTTCTCAAAATTGCCGATGGTGGGCCCAAGAAAATCCCAATTTCACAGTTGAATGTGGTGATCAGTATTCTTTTAAAACTAATGTATGGTGTGGGATACTTAACGACCAAATAATTGGGCCATTCTTCTTTAGGGAAAATTTATCATCCGTCGGTGATCTCAACCTATTAAATAATGAGGTTAGTGAAGTTTTAGATAATATGCCTTTAAATATTAAATACGACCTATGGTATCAGTCCCTCCAACAAATGTTCAGAGGCAAAGTTATTGGACGTAACTGGGAACATTATTGGCCACCTAGATCACCCGATTTGACGCCTTTAGACTTTTTCTTGTGGGGTTACCTGAAACAAAAAGTGTACCGAAGTAGACCATTTACTGACATACAACATCTGGAAAATACCATTCGCGAGTGCTGTGCAAATGTAAATCCCCGATTTATTAAAAATGCAGTTACAGATGTCAGTAGAAGGACCATAATTTGTATTGAACGTGGAGGACGACATACTGAAATGTAGGCTATAAGTGTTTGACAACCTCATTTAGATCAATAAGTAATTTTTTGTACCATTTGTATTTTCTATAATATTATTGTAGTTTAAAATTTATAATAATAATAATAGTTCTATAGAAATTATTTGCATTTTTTTTAGTTGCCTCTGCTTTTTCGAAATCAAAGGTTTGTTTAAGACACCAAGTGATTGAAACTTTGCACCAGTCATGTTAAAATTTTTATAGCAAATTTTATCTTAGTTGCATAAAATTTGGCATATGGATATAAAATTGCCGTAGACACAACTTTTTCAAGTAATTTTTTGTTAAATTCGATCTAGAAATGCATTTTTTCCATTTTTTTCAAAAAAAAAAAGTTGAATTTGACAAACACTGAACATCAGTGGGTCGCAGTTGGCCGCGTCATTTCAAGTTAAATATAGCACAAACAAGTGCTGAAGTTAAACTTCATTGAAACTTTTCGAAAAAAAAGTTTCCCATATGGTGCACACTTTAATGGTGACACTGTATGTATGTATGTATGTATATATTATTATTTGAAAATTCATATCTATTGTACACAATGAAAGGGCAAACTGAACGATTGTGCTAAAGAAAAGTAAAATTACTGAATAAAGATTACAAAAAAATTGCCATTAAGGGATTTAGGAAACATGCCATAACTTTGTAAACCTCGTATAGTAAAAATTGGCCAGTTGTCTTTATATTCAAAATAAAAAGGTGAACACAAAATAAGTTAAGAACTAATTTTTCTGTGATATAAATTATGGCAACTGTAGCATTCTTATTATCGCACCAATACTGTCTTAGGAACAGTAATTTTCTTGAGTGGCTGCAATATATTCATCCACTAGATCCTGAACAACTTCTCGACTGGAATCTAGTTCATCCAGATTTTCCCTAAACATATCTTCTTTACGAAATTGGTCCAGGAATGCCTCTCTTTTTCTCAGCTTGTCATATTGGGTCAAGGCTCGATCAAACAACTATAAAATATATAAAAATTTAATTTTTTGAATTAAATACTAAAAAAATTTCTCAAAAATATTATTTTTATTTTAGTGGAAGCGATTTCAAAGCACTCTTGTGATTGCCGAACACAATAATGAAGTTTTATCACCCATTACCCAAAATGCTATAACAGCTGCTGAAAAACTAGGAGGAGAAGTTTCAGTTCTAGTTGCAGGACCAAAATGTGGACCAGTAAGATTTGCATACAGTTTAATTTAATTTGTCCATATTCCAAAATATTTTAGGCCACCGAAGCTTTAGCTAAAGCAGAGGGCTTATCAAAGATTTTAGTTGCTGAAAATGACGCATTTAAAGGTTTTACTGCAGAAAGTTTAACACCCTTGATATTGAAGGCAATAAAACAATTCAATTACACCCATATAGTTGCTGGTGCTTCCGCTTTAGGAAAATCATTATTGCCCAGGATTGCTGCCAAACTGGATGTCTCTCCAATATCTGATGTGATTGCAATCAAGTCACCTGACACATTCATTAGAAGTATTTATGCTGGTAAATAAAATAAAATACTTCATCTTCTTTATTGAAATATTTCATGAAAATTCATTCTTTGGGTAAATTATGTTTAGAGTAAATTTTGTGTTCACAAATCAAAAGAATGTCTTGTCTATATTATCTCTTTTAAAGCAAATGGAACTTCAAACGTTCAAGCCAGTCTCTATATACCTACACAGTAGGTTTAATGGACTGACGCCTATCAGAAAACAACTACTCTTGGCTTGAACGTTTGAAGTTCCATTTGCTTTAGATTTGTTTACTGCCAGTCTTCAAGCATAACCCATTGACTAATAATAAAGTTTATCTCTTTTACCAATGTCACATCTTTAATGTATTAATTTTTTATGTTGGTCAAACTTCACTTATTAAATTTGACCCCAATAAACAAACAGTCAAACATGGCAAGCTAAATAAAACACCCTGTATATAGATAATTTACTATTATAAGTGGTTGTTGACAAATGAAAGTAGAATAGATATTGAATTTTAAGACATAAAAATATAAAGTTCATTTTAGCAATAAACATTTTAATATATTTCTATTTTGTGAAATTTGATTATATCTTAGATTGTAATGAAAATAAAAAGGTTCATTTTTATCAAAAAAGATTGGTAGCAAAAAGGTGGTAGACTTTGTATGTATATTAATAGTAAAATCAAATATGAAAAAATATTTTTAAGATCAAAATTATAGTAAACGGTAAAGTTACTGCAGTGGGTGTGTTATATAATAAATCACCTCAACAAAATACAACTGAATTTTTAAATGAAATGGAAGATAGCTTTGGATGTATTTGGCCTAGCATTGACGATATTATTTGCATGAGAGGTGTAAATAATAATCTTTGTTTAGAAAATAGTAATATTGAAATTTGTTTCATCCAAAATAAATAATGGACATCCCAACCAGAATAACAGTCGGGCAGTATTGTATCACAACGCCATAACTTTTGAACTTGATATATGTCCACATAATCTGATATTTTTTCAAAATAATTTCCTGACAGATTCCGAATACAGAAACTATTTGATAATTCAATAAAAAATATAATTTTAATTCGTTTTACTTCTTATTCTACTGTACATTGTTGAATAATTTAAAAAGCCCATGTAGTATGTGGATTTTTTAAAAGAATCCGAATACAAAAAACAATGAAAAAAAGAGAAAAAACTAACTTCTGAACACCATTCTTCTACTCTGTACCCTTTATATTGGTGATTAATTTAAATAAGTCCAATGATTTATATGTAGAAATTTTATACAAAACATTTTTTCCAGAATTTTACCTCTTCACCTCAAACTTCTCAGATTATGATCTTTTGTTTCAATCATCATTTGAAAATGTTCAATGTTGATGATTTATTTATTCATATTTCAGGAAATGCCTTGCAAACCTTAACTGCAAAAGACAAAATAAAAGTACTGACCATTAGAGGAACTAGTTTTGAACCTGCTGCCCTAGAAGGGGGCTCAGTTAATTCTGAAACACTGGCTGTTGATGGATGTGCAACAGATTTAACCATTTTCATAGATCAGGAGCTAAGTAAATCAGACCGGCCGGAACTAGCGAGTGCCAAAGTTGTTGTAAGTGGAGGTAGGGACTGTTTAAAACAAAAGAGAATTTTTTTTCTGGGAACTTGTTGAGTTTTTTATACTTGGCCTCTTATTTTTTCTAGGTCGAGGTTTGAAATCAGGTGACAATTTCAAACTTTTGTATGATCTTGCAGATAAATTGAATGCAGCAGTAGGGGCATCTAGAGCAGCCGTCGATGCTGGGTATGTCCCTAATGATTTGCAAGTGGGACAAACTGGAAAAATTGTCGCACCTGTAAGTATTAGGTGGATCTTTTTTTGTTTCTGTATGATTTGATAAGTGATTTTGTGAAACAAACAAGTTCCTAGTTGCTATTTATGAATCATAAGAGTCGCTGATGATAATTTTTAAATTAGGCTTTTTTTTTTAAAAACTCCGATGTGATTTAAGCACATATGTTCATACATAGAGATACTTCAAAAGTAGGAAACTTATGTGGGTTTTTTTTGGAATATCGTGTTTTTCAATATTTATGCTCAATATTTCTGGGTCTCTGACTTTGTCAAGTTGATGAAATCAAAAATTATTCATTAGGTGATATGTCTGAATGCATCACATCTTAGTGGAATTATTATATTGGACTTTTCAGTTTTCACCAATTGTTTTATTTTCTCGATTGTCAAACAATTTATCTTATGAACAGAACTGTTATTGAAAGGGAAAGGTTTTGGCTTTCTACTTCTCCATCCTGATACAAAAAGTGTGGGAATCTTCTAAGGAAAGGAAGGAAGCAATCAATTTTAAAAATTAAATCTATATAAAGATGTGTAGATCATGCAAAAAAGTAACTTTCAGGAACAAACTGCAAAAAAAATCCTCTCGAAACAGCTATTTTCATATAAACATTGGAATTATACCCAAGATAAATACTTTCGAAACAAAAACTTTTATATGAACACTGAATTATATGGGAAACATTATTTCTATTCCAAACGAATGTTTGGAATACATACGGAATGATTTCTAAATTTGTGATTGGGGAATAAATATCACTGGAATTTTTTCCCAACACCAAATCGTTATTTTTAACACCTCACACGTGTTTCGATCAACAAATGATCATCTTCAAGAGAAAGATTAATCTTCTTCTTGGAGATCGAAACACGTGCCGAGGTGTTAAAAATAACGATTTGGTGTTGGGAAAAAACTCCAGTGATATTCATTACTACACCAAAGGTTCCAAACAGTGCATCATAAGTAACAATTGGGGAATAATATAAATTACGTTATTTCATATGTTATAACTCATGTTTTCCAGAGTTTCAAAATGTACAAATTGTTTTTCTGGAATGTTTCAATTAATTAGGGTAATATTATGAGAGGCTGGAGGGTCTTTACAATCCAAAAGTTCATTGTTTTTCCAATAAAAAAATTTCATCATAATGATCGATAAATGAATGTATCCCATATAATATTGATTTATAATAATATTGTTTATTCTAGGATCTATACATTGCTGTCGGCATTTCTGGAGCTATTCAACATTTGGCTGGTATGAAAGACAGTAAAACTATTGTAGCAATCAACAAGGATCCTGAGGCACCTATTTTTCAAGTGGCCGACTATGGACTAGTGGCAGACTTATTCAAGGCTGTACCTGAACTAACTGGAAAACTATGATATTTCATTGAATTTTCAAGTTGAATATCGAAATATAATATGTCTGGCAAATTTTTAATTTTGCAGAGAGTTTTGAAAGTATATATTTTACAATAAATCTTTTTCTTTCCATTATTATTTCAGTTGAAAATTTGTTGTATTGCAGAATGATTTATTTATAAACAGCATTTTGCATCATTTTAGTAATATGGCCTGGATATTTTATTGAATTTTCTTAGTTAACTGAGTAGTAATGACCCAGTCACTAATAATTATGAGAAAATTTAAAAAATGTTTGGAATATTATTGCAATGAAATGAATATTCATTAGTATTTTTAGGCTACTTAGCAGAAATTTACAATTCAAGTTCACAATGAAATAGTTGAAAAAATGTATTTTTTTAATGGTATAAACAAAACAATTCAAACTTCTTTCTTCAATGAAAAAATGTTCCAACATCTAATCTTATCTCTTACTATCATGAATTTGGGGCTTCAGAACCGCAAAGATATTTTGTGGACTTTTAGTTCAAAATCCTGGAACAGCCTGGTCTATTAGCAAAGCTAATATTGTGGCAATAATATCTAATCAGGTGCACTGTTTTTAATATTATTCAGATTGGATCAAGTTCTTGCGGAATCCAGGGAAAATCGGACAGGATTCGGCAAAGGCCTTGGGACCAAACTTGTGTCAAGTGCACTTAAAATGTTGAAAAAAAACACTTGGCAGACATATAAGGGTCATAGCACTGACTAACAGACCACTCCATCGAGACCAAAATGCGAACAGGTCAGGTATGTCAATGGAAACAACATTAATAATAATAATAATAATAATAATCTTTATTCATCCTTTAAGATCATACACATGATATAGGACAAGTCATAAAATGTATATACACAGACATATATAGGTACACATATATACATATACATACGATAAACATATTACTTTAAACATATCGTCCATACAAACAAGCAAACATAAAATAAAAACTAGGAATTAGCAAAATATTCACTAATGTCATAAAAGCAGGACTCCACTAAATATTTTTTCAGATTTGTTTTGAATTTATTAAGTGATAACTTGGGAGATGATTGAAAAATCGTATTCCATTATATTTAGGACTGCTTTCGTAAAGTGATGTACGATGCTTTATACTTCTAAATAAGTCACCATGCCTCGTAGCATAGTCATGAGAGTCAGAATTTTTTGAGAAGCTCTTGATGTTGAGTTTAACATATGCTACAGTTTTAAAAATGTAGATCGATGGTACTGTCAGTAATTTAAACTTTTTAAAATGATTCCTACACGTCATTCGGCAATCTAAGACAAAGATAAGACGAATTAGTCTTTTTTGACTGATGAAAACTCTGCGAGCGTTGGCCGTACTTCCTCTAGGACAATATTATAAGAAATATGTGAATATGAGAGAGCATAATACACATTTATTAATTGCTCTAGTGTGAATATATTTTTCAGCTGCAAAATTGCATAATAACTACTATTGAGCCTCTTACACATCTGATCAACGTGTGTATTCCACTTCAAATTTACATCTGAATATGTGCCCAGAAATTTTATTGAATCCGAAAAATATATATTTTTGTTGTTCACGCGAACAAAATAATCATTTGAAATTTTTGTACGAGAATAAAACTGTAGACACACTGTTTTGTCAGGATTGACAATTAAGGAATTGTCATTACACCAATCAGTAAATTCTTTCGACAAATTATTCATTTTCTGCACAAGTTCTTCTGGGGTTTCGGCATCAATGGCGATTGTCGTATCATCTGTGTACAAAAAAATGTGTTCAGTGCTCAAATAATTTGGTAAATCATTGGCGTACAGAAGAAAAATCAAGGGACCTAAAACTGATCCTTGAGGAACCCCTAAATCAACATTAAAAAGTTGAGATCTACAATCATCCAAACTTTCCGATACTCAGGATAAGATGCGAGCCACGACAAAAAAATGCCCCGAAATCCCAGTCCAGATAATTTGCCCAGAGCAACATTAATATTGATAGAATCAAATGCCTTAAGAAAGGTCAAAGAAGAGTACCCCCGCAAACCTTCCCCGGTCCAATGCAGTATGGACATAATCGAGAAAAGCCACCGAGGCACTCGCCGTCGATCTTCCATGGCGAAATCCATGTTGATGCCTGCTTATAACATTATGTTTATCAAGAAACCCAAGCATCCTGGTATGTATGCATCTCTCAAAAATCTTACATATGACAGTTGGTACTGGTATGTCTGATCACAGAAAAGGCAAAATAGGTTTGAAAGAACAAGTGAGTATATTCAGCTGCTTTCTTGTATGGAGGTCACATTTGATATATCCTTAGAATAAATCATCCAGGAGTCAAATAGAAGAGGGATAGGCAATACGAGCTGGTGGTAGCCACATACTTAGATGAAGATCAGTATGTGGAAACCAGTAGTAGCACGGGCTGAGGCGACTCTAGCCCATGTAGCGCCCGTTAGCAATCAATGTCCTTAGAGAGTAGCGGCAGACCCAATTTTTTTTCATTTTAAGAGATAGACTCCTGGTTTCTTTGGAGAAAATGATTAACTTGAAATTTTTTATGTCTTGATTTAATTTACATTTAGAGAGGTGGACTCTTGGTTGCTTTGGAGAAAATGATCAACATGGAAAAATAATTTTTTTAAATTCTATGATGCCTATCTTCACCTGAAAAATTAGCAATCGATCTTTTGAAAGAAAAGAAATGTCTATTTGAAATCACTGCAGTATATTACTATGATAGATGGAAAATAATTTTAGAATTTGTGATTTTGATAATTCAATTAAGAAAATTCTCGGTATGGGAGAACCAAGATAGGTTAAAAAAAGGTTTAAAAAAATGAAAATATCGAAAAAACTTATTGGACTATTTTTGTTCGCTATAATATGGTAAACAAAACACTTTATTACGATTTTGCCGTTTTTCTGATAATTTAGGAAATGGTGGTTGAAATTTAGAAAAAATATCAGAATCAATAACATATTTTTTTTGTTATCTTTATCACATTTTAGTAGGTATGTGTAAATTTTGCTGAGACTTTCAGTATCAGTTCTCTTATTCAATGAATGTCCCATGTGATTTATATGTACCATTTCTAAAAATATTATTTTGGCTGTATTCATTTTTGTATCAAAAATATGTAGGTTCACAAAATTCATAGAGTGAACTTATATTGAAAGCCTTTTCAAAATTATACATACTTGCTAAAATATGATGAAGATAACCAAAGATCTAGTGATATTCGTAATATTTAGAATTTTCCTACTTGACCATGTCAATAAAATTTTAATCACTTTGAATATTTTATGTTTTCTATCCAATTTAAAGACATTTAATACTTTATTCTGACTTCATTTCTCACTGTTAATAAATTTACCTATTAATCTGTAATATATTTGTCGACAGCTTGACACATAACAAAGGATGAGTTTTTTTGTAACAGTCTAGGGACTTACAGCAACTTTACCAAACAAAACAAAACAGGTTCGTATTGAAAAAAAGAGGTGATAAACGTATAATCAAAGATTTATTAATACATCGTTATAGTACATTTCGAATACAATAAAAGTTCTAGAGTCTGATAGACCTATGTATTAGAAATTCAGAACGGGATTTAGTTGAACAGGACGGTGACGGGACTTAGCTGACAATCACAATAGATCCAAGGAACGAGACAAACTCAAATCCGTCTTTCACCAAAACGTCTGTCCCATGTCCAAACCTGCACTTCACATCCCAAACATCCGGATGAATAGACGAACCAACCAAAAGTTTTTCTTCCTTATATTCATGGAGTTACCGATAAAATGAGATGAATTTTGAAGAGGCATGATATAAAAATAGTATCCACACCCAGCAATCAAATTTTCACTTTTCTACGAACACTTGAACCCAATGCGGCACAGGACATATACGAAATACCATGTTCCACCTACTCCAGAACTCACATTGGTCAGACTAACAGAAGAATCTCTAACAGAGCCTAAGCTTGCTGTCCGTAAATCAGATCCATCCTTCTTCAAATATCATCGTGAAGCAGGCCACACAATAATCTTTGAAAACACCAAACCCATTGCCACTGAAGAAAATTCTCCAGACAGGATAATCCGCGTAGCTATTGAAATTGAAAAACGTTCCAACTGCCTCAACAAATGAGATGATTCACAAAGATAACCTCATTCACGGAGATTATACTGTCACGCTCTACATCTCACAACATTATACACCTCACTTCTACGAGTCACAACCTCGTTCCCACTGCCAACTTCACTGTCACTCCCCCTACCGGTCCCCCCCTCCACTCGTCCAGGGACATGAATACCAGACCACAGTAGAAAGCTTATGAAGACCTACTGTTGCCAGACTAGAACCAACAGTCGGCGCTTGGGAGTGCCAAGATTGAGACCCTTGCAAAGACCAGCGGCGAGACCTGGGGAGTAGGCAGATTGAGACCCTCACGTCAAGTCACAAAACCCTTACAGCTTGTCACTACTTGAGTAGTAGGCAGATTAAGGCCTCAGTGTAGTGATATCTTCTTGAAAATGTCAAAACAAAAACATCTTTGAAAATACCAATAGAATCAGTATCCTTCAATTCTGAGGTTTAATCATTGGATGGTTTGACTCCTTTTGAGAAGTCTGTCCGTACTAGAGGTATCCAAAAACAATTTCTAGATTTGGTTGGGTATTGGTGCAGTTCAAAATTATATCTCATTTTATCAATTTAGTATTCAGGAGTATTTAGATGCTAGCCATCCTAAACTGTCCATCATGGTTTTTATGGAAGTGTGTCTGTTACATAAAAAAAATTATACGCATTGATCAATTTTGTAGTTTGAAAATGTTGAAACGAAAACATCTTTGAAAATACCAATAGAATCAGTATCCTTCAATTCTGAGGTTTAATCATTGGATGGTTTGACTCCTTTTGAGAAGTCTGTCCGTACTAGAGGTATCCAAAAACAATTTCTAGATTTGGTTGGGTATTGGTGCAGTTCAAAATTATATCTCATTTTATCAATTTAGTATTCAGGAGTATTTAGATGCTAGCCATCCTAAACTGTCCATCATGGTTTTTATGGAAGTGTGTCTGTTACATAAA